TGGTGCCACCCACCTCACAAAAGCTGGCTGGGATCTGTCCCCACACTTCCCCCGGGGTGAAGCCAGAGGTGGCAGAGCCCCCCAAAACCTGGCCAGAGAGGAGCAGGCAGGTGGCACCAGCCTGTCCCACCCCTCTGGCACGGGACAGAGTTTGTCCCTGCCCTCCTCAGCACAGATGAGCTCAGAGCTGCCCAGAGAGTTTTTAGAAACCAAAACAGGATGTTTCCAGGCTGCCAGCCGGCAGCACAGGGTTACCAGCCTGAATTAGCCAGCCCGCCACCCAGCCCAGCCCAGCCCTCCTACGAGTGCTCCCATCTGGGCATTGTCTTTTAATAGACACTGGAAACAAATCCAGCAAGGCCACAGAGCACGGCGGGATGGGAGAGTGTGCTTAAAATAGGAGCAGGGAAAAAACCAGCCAGAGCACGGCTGGAAACAGAGAGTGGSATGGAGCGGGGTGTGTGGATGGCAGCCCCTCTTCCACACCTGGGGCAAGACCCTGCTGTCCCCATCCACTGGGGACCTTGGGTGGCTGCCCCAGTGCCCCTCCTGGGCCAGGCAGAYGATGCCAAAGAGTAAAGTGGCATCAGCCAAGTGACATCAGCCTTTCTGCTCCCCSTCCTGCCAAGGCGGAGTCCCCTTGCCACAGTGGCCAACACAGACCCAGCCAGGAAAGCCAGGGATGGCCAGTTCCTGCAGCTGAGATGSCCAGAAGGTCCCACAGGAGACACAGCAGAGGTGGCAGCGTGTCTCAGTCTCACTCAGCMCCTCAGAGCCCCAGGTGTGGCCGAGGAGGAGGGAGGGCAGAGCACAGGCTGGAACCAGAGCTGGGTGTGGGGACACGACCACTGGGAAACAACGGGAAAGCTGCAGTGCCACACGGGCAGGAGAGCCCCCTCCCAAAACACTCAGCTGAGAAATTCCCCCTGGCCCTGCCAAGGCAGGAGGAGGCAGCACAGCTCTCAGCACCCAAATGAGAGAATCATGGAAGGGTTTGGGTGGGAAGGGACCTTAAAGCCCATCCAGTGCCACCCCTGCAGTGGGCAAGGGACACCTTTCACTGTCCCAGGGTGCTCCCAGCCCTGTCCAGCCTGGCCTTGGACATTTCCAGGGATGGRACAGACTCAGCTTCTCTGAGCAACCTGTGCCACGACCTCATCAAGACAAACAGGGGTAACCTGTGGCACCCCAGCTCTCTCCCTGCACAGACGGCTGTGGAATTTCACACCCAGTCACCAAGATTAGCAGCAAATCCCAAGATTTGTTCTGAAGAAGAAAGAGAAGCCCTGACCAAGCAACTTCCCTTGCAGGGACAGAATGGAAACAGCTGAGGAACAAAGAATGACCCTTTTCTTCCAGTCCTGCTGCTGGGTGACTTTGCCAGCATCCATCACCAAGCCTAAGAAAATAAACACGGCTCTGTGTATAAACACAGCAACCATCAAACAACATTCCCAAGTGCAAGGGACCCACATTCCACTGTGGGCACMCAGAGCAGCACCACATCAAACTGAGCAGGTATGTCCAGAACAGCTCCAGCTCAGSTCAGTGCAGCATGGATGGAGAACTGGCTCCCAAGTTTCCCGTGCCAGGGCAGCCATGGGATTTCACTGATACCACCTGGCACGTGTCTGAAGATGCCCTGCACAAGTCCTCACCTCACTCAAGGTGACACTGAAGCAGAAACTCCTCACAGCTGATGGGAAAGCAGCAGGGACTGGGCAAGGAGCAGTGCCCGGGCTGATCCCTCCAAACTAGAATTCTCTTTGCAGGTTTTGTAGCACCTCCCCAGAGCTGCTAAGTGCCTGCCAAGCCCAGCTCTGTCAGGTCACCGAGCACTTCCCACCCCTGGAGAGGCTTTAACACCTGGACAGCAGGAACCAACAGRAGAAGCCACCACAAAAGGGCACAAACTCTGTTCTCAGCCTGCTCCCAATTTCCCGTCCATCTCCCTCCTCGCGTGGGAGATGAACACACAGCATGGAAAGACAGGGTCACTTTTTGAGCCAAAAACATCAACTCTCTGTGTGCCCAGCAAATGAAGAAGGAGCAGAAGAGCTTGAGGTGTGGGGCTTGTAGCTGAGAGTGCTCCTGAGCCTGGGCCATGCAGAATCTCCCAAGGGCAGGCTGCAGGAGCCCTCTCCACAGCCACACTCCCACCCAGAACATCTGTACAGGCTGCTGGGCCACTGCCACACTCTGCAAATATAAATAGGTGTTAAATTCAACTCCATGTTGACAGCGTGACACGTCTCTCAATAACCACAGCTCCAAAAGGAGCAGCACTCCAGCCTGGTGAGGAGGCAGGGCAGGGCACAGAGCCAGGCAAAGGATGGCCTGCTGCCCAAGCATCTCACTTCCTGGGAAAGCAGCTGTAATTTCCCTGCTGCTCCTGCTCTCCCTGGACCTTTGGAAGCATCYTCCTGTGCCCATTGCCTGGAGGGGCACTGTGCTTCTCTGCCTGTGCTCGAGGGAAGAGCTGGGGTTCTTGTGATCCCCATTTACAGGGACCCCACTCTGCTGGTTTGCCTGGCCACAGTCAGCCCCACTCCCAGACAGACCATTCTTTCATCTGCCACTGGTGGGAACTCTCTGAGCCATCACAGACCTGAYATTCCTGAGACACCACCACGTCAGGAGAGGCCCAGCTTTCTGCTCTGCACTCACAGCTCTGCTGTCCCCAGCACAGGGCACCCCTGCTCCACACCTGCCATGGCAGGAGCTCACTGGGCAGCACAAGGACAATCCACACACAACCCCAATAATGGTGCCCTCACCTTGGTCTGCTGCCAAAGCAGTTGGTACTGGCAGGTTGATGYCGGCCCTCCCTGGCCACAGTGGTGCTGGGGGGGTCCCGTCCGGGCACCTGGGACCCTGCGTGGGGAAGAACAAGGGGTCAACGAGTGAACCACCTCTAGTTCTACCCTCCTTCCCTCCCTCCCACCTTCCACGGGAGCCCCAAAAGCACAACAGCCCCATCCCTTGCAGGACAGACCCCCTGCACCCAGGGTCCCCCCTCCTCATGCTGGGATGCTCTCCTCACAGCACAGCCCAGCACAGCCACCAGCACCCCATAACTCCCAGCAGGACACAGGACTGCACAGTGCTGGGAGAGCCCTGCATCCACAATTCCCACATTGCACAGGTTTTGTCTTCCAGCGATGAAAGAGAAGAGCCAAGGGAAAGCAATGCACTAATCCCTGTTCTGCACAGCCCTGCTCCCCTGGCAACCCTGAGATCAGCCACCAGCCCACGACCCCACACACACTGTGCCATGGGGAGCTCGCTGTGAGTGGATCAGCAGGCACTGAAATCACTTCCCCAGCCCTCAGAGCCAGCGAGGGAAGGGGCTGATCCAGAGAGGGAAGGGGTTGAGC